GGGCTGAGTGTTTTATCTTTAACTAAAGCAGCCCTGAGTCATTTTTTAAAATTCCATTGCAAATAGCTTGAGGACTTCTACTAAGTTTTTTTTTACAATTTTCTTACCCTCTTAGTAGAGTAGAGTCCTTCAAAATGTGATTTTGTGTGCATATAGACATACTTTCTGGCTTCTGAGAGAGCTCTCCTAACCTTACATCTACAACAGCCACTGTAGTTTTAGCAAAGGCTTGGTAGATCTCAGGCGGGATGTGTTAAGATATTCTGTATAACATAGTCTTATGTATAACATAGTATTGTGTATATATGCATGCCCCCCAAAAAACATTATCTCTTATTGTAAATCAAAGCAATCTGAATCCCTCTAAAATGAGTAAGTTAGATGTAGTAATTGACTAGTGACGCTGGTCAACTCAGGATAACTTTTGATTGGATGAAGCAAATCGAATTGAAATCCTGAGAGTTCTGCACCACTTTCATTCCCAGGAGAATGTGTATATTCTAAAAAAGGTGACTGCCTGAACCCCACTACAAAGAAAATACAAATGTGCCTTTAGGAAAATAACCAGAGGAAGCCCTGAGTCATGACCTAAGAAAACCAATGACTGATGCTCTACAACCACTCATGGTGAGCTTTACTTGAAAAGTGAAAAACTTCCAAAGTAGAGGCAAAACAAGTTTGTAAGATCATCCCCAAAGAGACCTGAGGCTGTCATTGCTGCCAAATGTATTTTAAGCAACTGCTAAATAAATGGTGTGTTTAGTCAGTTGGAACCAGTGAGACATGACTCTATGTTGACAAAATGCAGAAAAGGTAAAAGCATCTGAAAATGGTCCATCTCCTCTGCACGCACAACGCTCGTACAGTGGGAGAACCTGTACTCTGTAGTCCCTTAGATGGTCGCTTTGATCAATGACTTTATAATTAAAAGAGAAAATCTGAGAAATGATCTGAAAAAGGCTTTTTCAACATCTACACAAGATCTACACCAGAGAAGCTGTGATTTTATCAGAAAGCCAAAAAAGCACACCTGACATTTCACAGATTTTAATCTCGACTTGCCTCCACACGGCTGAAAACTCAGACGGAGGGACGTGACGGTGGCAGACAGACTGAAGGAAGCAGGGGGGCTAGCAGACAAGTGGCTGAAGAAGGAATTTAGTTTTGCCAGAAGGACAAAAAACTTTGAGCCACGAGGCAGGAAATTTGAACCCACACATGTCCGGATACAGCGGAGGGAAGCGGGAGGTTGAAGAATCAGTGGGTGGGATATGGAAATGAAGAATGGAAGAGACAGGGGGCAAGTGTTTGGTCACACAGCCAGTGCCTGATTAATTAAATCCTCTGTTTGCGCCGGCACAATGAGTGGGCAGCTCAGAGGCTGGTCTGGCACCTTGCCCAACACCCTCTGCTCTCTGTGGGACTGTACAGCCCTGCTCGCTCCTTCCCTTTACACAGACCCTTTACTTCTCTCACACAGAACTCTGCAACTTGAGGTCTGTGATGAACTTGTGCTCTTTTGTCCACATGAACCTTAAACGCGTTGTGGAAATGTAGCATTTGGAATCAAAGGGATGGCTCGATATCACGTGTATGACTTATTATGGTGAAATAGGAATAAAGAATCATGGCGATTTAACGGATACTTGTGGCTGAGTTCCATCTGCAACTACAGCCCATGCTGTCTGAGCCACACGCAGACAAACTGAGTGCTTACAAACATTTGCCTGCTGTCACTTATAGAGGACTGCACATTCCCATGACTACACAGACTCACACACATCAGAGAAAATTTGTACAAATACTCAAGCTGAGCTGTGTTTGCATAAAGAGGAGCACATGGAAGAAGAGAAACTCAAAAGGAATTACAGGTACTCTTACAGCAGTGAATGCACACAAAAGCTTCCTTTAAGCACAGCAAGTGACTGGGAGGTGTGGTAAGTACCAGAGAAAATTGTGCGACTACTGATGTAGGTGCTGCTGCACCTGCTTGCTGAGAATAAACCAGAGTAGCTGGTAGCGATGCTGCCAGGCAGAGCACATTTTCCCTCTTTACTTATGGAGAACCGGAGGGAACTAGAATTCTCTGCCAAAACCTACTTTTTTAACAGCTAGACCTATAACACGAACTCTTTTCGTGTTATAGGAAACTCTCTTTACTTATGGAGAACCCGAAGGAACTAGAATTCTCTGCCAAAACCTACTTTTTTAACAGCTAGACCTATAACACGAACATAAGTAATTAGAGAGCTAAAGAGAATCAGTTAAACCAGTATCATATCTGTAAACATCAGGCCAGTTAGCTCAGTTTACCTTTTGAGAAGAATTCATTTAAACACTGATGAGAGCCGGTTGATGTTTAGTCTGGATACTTAAGCCTTCTTTTCTCTTCTCCAAAATGTTGTTACAATAATCATTTAACTTTAATATTAAAATGTAAGTTTCTGTCTGTGTATACATTATTTACTAACTATATATAAATGGACATCCCTCAGATTTAACAACACATTTTTGGCTGTTTCCACAAAAATTCTGCAGAGTTTTCAGGGTTACTCAAGATGAGGAACTTTTCTTTTTTGTGGTAGGCTAAAATGAAGCACCCGCTAGTTACAAACTCAAACACAGTTTCAAACACTTGACAACTCATCACAAAACATTTTCCTGGGTTTTCCAAGTTATTGCTTTGGCTTGTTCGCATAGATTTTCACAGATCTAATCCTGTTTCCTATAAATAATGTATCTAACAAAACAGATTTAGAACACAAAGTAGATTCTTATCATAGATTATTGCCATTTTGTTTTATCTCAACACTCAGACTGTATTTTGTTTATCCATTTGTTGAACTTGATGGAGGTCACATGGTATTTAGTTTAAATTTAAGAGCACTTTCTATCACTAGATGACTGAGGTCAAATGGGAAAACTAACTTTTTTATTCAGAACCAAAGATTAAAAAAATAAGTCAAACGTATCCCCATGGAAACTGAAATTTATATGAAAGTGTCCATTTTTTTAGTTTTTTTTGTTGGTGTTTTCATTTAAATGAAACTGAGGGAAAAATAGATTTTATCACTTGATGTGAATGTATTTCACATTTCCTTGGTGGGTGAAATTAGTTGACACTACAACGCAGCTTCAACATTTTTGATGTTTCATATGAAATTGCACGAACATCAAGGTATGAAAGCTTTACTTGTAAAGCTTATAATGAACAGTATGATATGAATATTTTTTTTCTCTATGCAAAAGTATTTCTAAACACGCGTGTTAGGTTAACTGTTGATTCCTAACTGACCATAGGGGTGAGTCTGAGTGTGCATGGTTGACCATCCCGTGCATCTCTGTGTGGCCTTGTGACAGAAAGGTGCCCTGTCCAGGATGTGTACCCCTGACAGACAACCCTGTCTGGATGGATGGTGTGTTAACACCATCTTCAGTGATGAGCTGAGCCAGTAGCGGTACTAAATGGTAGCTGGGATAAATGCTGCTTGTGGTGGTTCTCTTGTCTCCTCTGTATATCTGGACAATCCTTTGGAATTTTTTTATGTTCGTTGGTATTTTTGTTGGGGTTATTGGATTATCGTAATAGGCTTTTAATTTGACTGTACAGTTGTAATTTCAAGTTTCGTCTTAGATTTGTTTCCTGTGTTTACTTGCTCCACATCTGTTCTGAGCTCAGGTGATCATCCCACTGCTCCGTTCTCACCATGTACATCTGTTTCCAATTAGTTATCATTTACACAACATACAGTTTATTTCCTCTAGTTTCTTGCACACATTTTTCATTTAAACTCCTCTTTCCATTTCTTCATCTTTGTTTAAGACTGTCATATGTCCCTGGTTTTGTTTCCTTATCCTAAAACATATTTATGTCCTCTGTAGTAAATAGCTGTTGTTTCCTTCTTCTGGCCTACTTCCAACCAGCTACAAGGAGCAAAACATCCATGGCAGAACACCTGCCCTGGTTTTAACAATGATACAACCTCTCTGATCTTCTCAACAGAATTCACAATTTAAGTTTGGCCATTTTTACTGAAATAAAACTTACTATCCCTTAATAAACCTAGAGATAAACAAAACCAGTCTTAGAAATGCCAAACTATCATAAAAATCCCAATAGATCATCACTTACCCTTTATTAAAAAATATGTCTCATTTGCACACTTATTATCAGATATAACGATTTTCTTTAAGAGTGTTTGGAGAATTCACGGCAGCATAAGGTTCGAGCATAATTTTACCTCATTTTCACACACTCACTCCAGGAAGCATTATTCATTCTGTTCAGCCAAGATTTACACAATACAAAACAATACAGCCCTAAATTGCACAAGCTCCACAAAGAAGGATTAATTGAATTTCTGAGAGAGGTGGAGTAAATGACTGTTTAAGTGTTCCACTGAAGTAATTGTTTTCTATCAACAGTTCATTGAGAGAAAGGTGTGAGTGTGTTTCAAGCGGCCAGTAATTTGGGAGGGTGTTGTTAAAACACGGCGGCCTCGCCCGCTGTGAGCCCACAGGGCTGCAGCGGCAGCTGAGGCGCTTAATCTCCAGTCTCTCGTCTAGCTGGTCTGTTTGTCTGCATGGGCGGTGGCCAGAGGAAAGCTGTACATTAAAGCTGCTCTCTGGCCACATCAGAACAAGTTTGGTAGTGTTTTTACATAAGCAAGTGAAATGTGAAAGGACCCCAAAAAACTACTACAGAAAAGAATTTGTTTCAAAAGACAGTTTTGAATACTTTGAAAAATGTCTGCAGTGCAATCAGAACTTTGTAAGTCTAAAATCAAACATGAGCACACAAATATCAGCACGAATAAACACGATCAGTTGGCTGTGATTTCCAAAAATGCTTAATCAAAAATGAATGAGAAATTGTTTACATATGCTGATTGTGGTTTCCTGTGGCAGACACGTGATGAATGACAACTGGTTTCTTCACTCAAAGAGGTGATTTAACTGGTGAGAAGCTGCTGACACATTACAAATGAAGCTACAGCTTATTACAGGGTGTTCTGGGTCTTCCAGAAGTATGACCACATGAGAAATGTATTAAGTTACACTATATTGAAACATTAAGAGCCTATCAAACATGCGGCCTGGAAGTTCTTGATAACCTGAATAATGCAGAATGCTGCTTTAGATAATCCTGACGCACAAAAGGATGAAAGGGCAGCCTACCTGAAGTGTCCCACATGTTGAGCTCAATCCTCTGCTTGTCGATCTCGAAGCTGGCCGTGTAGTTCTCAAACACCGTGGGAACATAATTCTGTAACAAGACATATTGGCTATAGTGAGATCAAAGCTGAGAGGGGTGATACGCACATTATAACACTGAGTGGGATTTTCCTAATTATCTCAAATAGCTTGGGTGCAGGGGGAAGTGAAGTGCTGAATGTCAAGAGGCATGTGAATGTGAATGTGTGTGTAGAAGGTAGATGAAGCTTGTTCTGAGCTTTGACCTATTTCAAAATTCAAAAATTTAGGTCAGGAAGCTCTGATTTCATTATCCTCAGACACTTCCAAGAGTTTCAAAAGAAAAACTACCTCTGTAAGGACAGAAAATGTTGAAGCTACTCACACCTGTGTCTCCTTTAGAGCATCACATAGGCTAGTGTGAATGTTTTATTTTTCCAGAGCAACATGTCAAGTGTTTTTAAAGTGCTGACATTTCCTGGCATAAACATCCTAAAAGCAGATGAGATGAAAACTAGATATTCTAGTATTCATCAATTGTCACTCTCCTGTGTGTTTTAACCTTGTTAGAATGCTACCCAATAGCGAGCGTCCTTAATTGTTATGTTCAAAGCCAAAAGCTAAATTCTAGTTTCATCATGACCATTTCAACTACATTCTCATTAATAATTTTATTTTTATTTTAACAGCACATTTAATTTGGTTTTTAGTACCGTATCGTAATGAATTAGTGCAGAAACAGATTGTAAGCAGACTGTTGCCGGATGGGAACGTTCGGATACGCGCAAGATGCGTAAATGCGCAGAAACGTGAGTTTTCACGTGCGTTTTTCCCTTCCATTTTCCATGATAATTGCTATTATCCTGTAAGAAATACAACAACCATGATCTTGTAAGAAGGATACAGCTGGTACCTACATCATTTTGATATGTTCTCCAGTAAAATCCTTTAAAAAACTAATTCAGCTCTGGTCAACAATTCGAGTTTACGCATTTCAAGGGCAAGTATGACAACAATCCAACTGAATGCAGAAATTTTTCATATAACTTAACATGAATGAGTTTCTTTTCTTGGGTGTGTTTAGAATGACATGGTACTTTGTTTTACTTGTGGGATTTTACGCACGCAAGTAACAGTGGTCACTAACGTGCTTTTTCTTTGAGACACTGAGTGCAGCCTTACCTCTGGGTACGAGTCTTTGGCAAAAACCTGAAGGACAGCCGTCTTTCCACACTGTGAATCACCGACAACCACAATCTTACAGCGGAGTAATCCTTTGCTCTCCATCGCGTCCCGAGTTATCACTGGATGGTTCTGAGTCGCTACTTTATTGTCATTTATGTCGCGGTGAGCAGGTCGTCGATGGGCAGCTCTGAATGGTCTGAAGGTTTATCTTGACCTAATGGTGACTCAGTCAGGGTTTAAACTTCAGCCTCACTGTCTCTGTAGTTTCAGCGACATACTCCGCGCAACGCTCCGGTCCTCTGCGCCTCTGGGGAGGCAAGCTGGAGATACCTGTTAAGGTGACGTCACTGAGCAGCACTTTCCCTGTTGTTTTTAACAAAATAAAAGCGTCACTATTCAGAGGAAGTGTGGGATCCTTTTTTCCTCAAACCTGACAGGCTCGATCAGTGTTCTACAGAGGGAAAATACCTGGTTCTGATCTAAAATTGGTCAAAGCTTGGCCACATTTTTGCACAAATGCTCATTCGATCTGTTTCCAGTTGGGTTAAATCAGGCAATGTCTGGCACAGATCCAGGTCTGCTCCTGTTGAGCAGTTAAATTTGACCAGTTAGATCTGATTTTTGTTAAAGATTTTATGTTTTGGAGGCTGATGTTTGTAATAATTCATCATATGAAATCATCATGTGAAGACGGGATACACAATGGACCGGTCACCAGTCCATCTGCACTCATTTCCTTGATGGTTTTAGGATCTATGTAAAAATTAACAAAGCGTGAAAAAATATCATTTAAATTTTTTATTTTCTTTAGTTTTATATTTCTGAAAACAGAAAACAATAATTTGTCTTTTTTGTCTGGGGTTTTTCTTCTTATCTGTTATTTGTACTTGCTTTTCTTTGTGTTTGATGTTCTTTTTCCTGATCTGTCTATTTTCTGCTGTATTTCCTCATTTCACTGTCAGTGTTTTTAGTCTGTTCTGCCACCATCTGTATGTATTTGGGTCTTTATTTGTCTCACAGTGTGGCTGGGAACTGGTTAGGGTTAGGGTTTGGCACAAAAAGAAAACAGGCTTTAGGGAATCTCTGAAAAGTTTTTCAAAACTACAAGAAAAATGACAACAGCATGGAATTCAGACATTACATATTGAGTTGATGCAAGGACTGATGTAAAGACCAGACAAGAAATCAAATAACTAAGAAATTGTTATAAATGGAGAGAAGAACCGCTGAAAAAGTACAGGTGAAGTTGAACTGACGATGGAAGCCAGAGTGAACTGAGGGACATGAATAAAGGTGGCAGAGACACAAGGATATACAGGAAATAGCAGACAGAAATCACAATAAAATCACTGGGCAACAGAACCACATTAACTAACCCTAAAACATAGAACATGAACCTAAAAAAAAGGCTAAACTTGTGACAGAACCTAAAACAAAGAACGTGAACCAAAAATGTACAACCACCTTCCTGTAAAATCTTTCAAACTGAAAGTTTGTTTTGTTTCAATCTACATATAAAAACTCAGGATCGGTAGATCTCAACTTTTTTGGGGTGTTTTTGCTCCATCTTCTGGTAGAAGAAGAAAATGCAGCCCGTTAGGAACAGTCTTTAGCTTTACATCAGAACTGTTGACACTTTTTTGTGTCTGTACAGTTACTGTTTTAATGGCTGTAGATGTCTGCAGCTCTGAATCATTACGTTATCATCACTGAAAAGTTCTTGCCAGCCGCAATACATTTATCTTCAGCCCTTCATTAAACAGTGGCATGTTTCCAACCAAACAGGATGCTTGAATGAGGCCACCATACAGTTTCTATACTGAGTGATCTTTCCCTTATTTGTGCTTGTCTAACATCCTCCGCTTAATTTTAACTGAGGATAAAGGTGATGAAATGATCATCTGTGTTATTTCTGGCCCTGAAAAAGGCGTCTTCTCTGTGTTGCATCTGCCCTCCATACTGAACCAGGGCTGCAGGAGGCACCAGTATCTGTGGGAGTGGGTAGATTCAGGATGACTGAACTTTAACTCAATGTTAAAACCAATAACAATATGGCCGTTCGTGTCCTACCAAACCAAAAAACACCTCAAAGGCATCCGAATTTAAGGATTATCGTCCAATAAAATACCATTGCTGATTTGGTTTGTTTTACAAAATGTTTTTTTCCAAAGTAATTGCAGCTTTAATATACTTATTACATGAAGCAGTAAACTAACCCATTTGCATTTAGATGCATTTGAAGTGGGAGGTCTCATAAAAATGATTCTTGTGACCCTCTGCTGGTCCATATTCAGTCAGCAGGACTCCGGCCTCCGGACTTTGCAGCTCTCTGCCTCTCATCTCTGAGCTTTTTGCCAGGAAAATGGCTCGACCACTTTTTCGTGTCAAGTCACAAATAAAGAAGCAGAAAAGCAAGGGAAGTTATCTTTTCTTGCCAAAATAATATTCAAATTGTCAAACAAAATAGAGTCTCAGTAATGGATTAAACCTTTTCCTGTGGAAAAAAAAACATCCAGACTGAGGCTAGCTGTAGTTTACCAGACATTTCTGTTTGTGAATGATCTGAATTAATCAAGGAGTACTAATTATTTATAATTACAAAACATAAAACTTGATATATGTTATGTTCCAATGCCATGTTGGTGCCCTAACAAGTGGAGAAATAAATCCAGCCTTTGTACCAATAGGACAACGTGGCATTTATCGTTTTTAGCAGTGTCGTTAAGGTTTTAATAGTAATCTGGGAAATGGAATTGGAGAATGTCAGCTATGTAAATCCAGATACCTAAAGGGAAACAATGACCAAAACACAAACGTGTTTGTATATACAGTATGTGAGGGGAAAAAAAGAAGTTTCTTAGCTTCAATCCCTTATTGTGACATTCTCCGCCGGAACTCTCTTCATTGAGGCGTTTCTCTTGTCTTTTCCACTTGTTGAAGAGCAACTACAGGAAACAACGGTGACACGCTCACTTTTAGGCTCTGCATTGTGGCGAGCACCGTTTTTTTGCAAAAGAGTGTGTGTTTGTAAACCAGAAATATCTGCAAACATCCGTCCTCTAAAAAAAAACAAAAAACAATTTAACCAGAAGCATCCAGACTCAGAGGACAGAGAAACGCCCTGTGGACGGAGCAGAACTTTCGGATCTGAGAAGCAAAACGTTTGAGAGTTCACGTCAACCAGTTGGGTTATTTTTCTTTTATCATGTCTGGCGAGGAGGCACCAACTCAGCTGCAAGAGGAACCTGAGCAGGTGAAGGGGGCGGCCGTGGATGTGCAGCAGGAGTCCGGTGGCAGTGGCAGTAGCAGCCCTGTGGCCGGAGATGCGCCCCTGTCCTGCCGCGCCCTGGTCCTGACGGGCTACGGGGGCTACGACAAGATCAAGCTGCAGGTGAAGGAGCTGCAGCAGCCCCGGCTGAAGCCCCGGGAGCTGCTGGTGCGAGTCCGGGCCTGCGGGCTGAACTTCGCCGAGCTGCTGGGCCGGCAGGGCATGTACGAGCTGCTGCCCAGCCCGCCGGTCACCATGGGCATGGAGGGCTCCGGGGTGGTGGAGGCAGTCGGGGAGGACGTGAAGGACAGGAAAGTGAGTAGGAGGCCTGCCGAGGGCTTTTTTTTTTATACACACCCACAAAAATGCCCCTGTGGTGTCAGGGTCACGGGGAAATGCTCCAACAACACACACAGTGCAGAAAAGCAA